GTACTACATTTTTTATATCTTGAGCAAAATATATGACGCTTATATTCAAATTAATCTCTGTCTTGCAAGGATTTCAGCAATGCAAATTATATTATCCTAACTTTAGTCTGAGATATTATATAAAATAAACATAAAGAAATCACCAATCTTTTGTCTTGAACACGAGGGTGGTGGGAAGACGGGGGGAGGGGGGGGGGTGAGGTGACAGAATGTCTGGCGTTTGTTTGTTTATTTATTTATTTGAGATAAGATTTGACAGTTGGCGCTGAAGGCCTGCCTGCGTGTTTATTTATCATTACTTAAGAGCTCTTCTCATAATTTTCCACCCAAACGACCTGGGTGAATATAACTTACATTGGAGGGATTCTTGTAAGATAGTAATTTATTTGGATTTTTTTTTTTTTTCAATTTAAATTTTAATTGTTTATAACTTGATTGAGGAAGCGGGATCCTAGTGCTGTCCCTTGGTGCCCCTGTACCATAACACCAGAAGCAACTGGCCAGTGTCACAAGTATATACAGTCATCCCTTGGTTATCGCGCCTAATTGGGACCCCGCCGATAACGAAAGTACAGAACCTATGGGATTTATTCTAATTGGTTCCAGGCACCCAAGACCCAACCCCAAGTTTCCCATTTTACGACCATTTATACCCACTAAATATATATATAATGTTATGGTAAATATCATAAACACACATAGGCATGGCTAGGTTTATTACAAAGTGATGAAAAAGGGTATGCTTAATACTGTAGTCCACAAAACATGTAGCTATGCTTTTTTTATTTGGTCCCCCGTCATACGAGTCCGTTTTCTCTCACATCAGGACACCTGAGTCCTCCATTTTCTCTCTTAATCTTAGAGTGCACCAGAAACTTTACTATTTTTAGTATGCTACAGATTTGAAATTGCAACCCCAATTGCAACTTGCAATTGTTGAGGCAACTAGATATGTCTGATTACAGCAAATGCGTTATTGTCAATTTGAAGGTGAAAGATTTTATCCTTAATAGATGTAGGTTAACATTTCACCTGTAGGCAAATGCTTAGAAAAGCCTAAGTAAGGAAGCATATTCCTTTAACGCATAGTATCTGACCAGTATGGGGAGGATCATCGTGTCTCCGTCAGGGGGTCGTGGAGTGGTGGTCCAGCAGGCGTCACGTTTTCTTTATTACTATTATTATTTTATTAATACAGTACAGTCGGCCCTTAACATACGCGGGTTTATAATACACGGATTTGCAAATACGCGGATTGCCCCGCCGGAGGAATATTCTGTACATTGAAGTAATTGAAGTACATTCAAATCACGCGCCATTCAACTCGCGCGCGGCACCGAACACGGGACACCGCCCGCTCCCGCAACCTCACACACGCACACATAGCTCTCCCTCACTCAGTCAGTCTCGCTGTAACCACGCTTGTGTTGACATCAGCATTGTAGTTGCAAAATATTACATTTCCGTAAATGTATTAAATCAAGCACAGTATGAATAGAATATCACTAATATAAGAGTACTTTAACCGAAAACTACTAAAAAAACGAGTAACATCTCTTGAACATCGGAAGGCTAGGTAAAGTCTTTTGTTTTCATGTAGTTTATCCTAATTTACATTGAAATGCATTACGTTTCAGCAAAACTACTATTTATTTCTGAGAATATGGAAATGTAATATTTTGCTGAAATGACGTACGTATTACAGTGGAGTGACGAAAACAATGACTTTCGCTTTCTTTCGTTCAAAAGATGTTACCGTAATCGCTTTTTGAATGGTTTTCAGTTTAAAAACTGTTGTATTACGATAATATTCTATCCTAATTGACTTGAATAAATACTACGATACCATATTTTTGAATATTTTCATTAAAATCCATCCAAATCATTTTACTTGTCATCGTCTGCAGCACCAAACAGCTTCTCCCAGTCCTCTCCTTGAACAGGGCTAGAGGGTACGTGTTTTTCGAATCGTTTTCAGTTAAAAAAACTATTACATCACATGTATATTTTACCTAAACTGCGCCTGAATGAATATATTCTCGGAAATAAATAGTAGTTTTGCTGAAACGTGATGTATTTCAATGTAAAATAGGATAAAATACATGACGAAAACAAAAGACTTTACCTAAGCTTCTGTTCTTGAGATGTTACTCGTTTTTTTAATAGTTTTCGGTTAAAATTCTGTTATATTACAATGATATTCTATTCAGTGTGCTTGATATAATACATTCACGGAAATGTAATATTTTTGCTGAAATTACGTACGTATTACAGTGGAAAGTGGGATAAAATCGTGACGAAAACAATGACTTTCGCTTTCTTTCGTTCAAAAGATGTTACCGTATTCGCTTTTCGAATGGTTTAGTTAAAAACCTGTTGTATTACAATAATATTCCCTCCTAATTGACTTGAATAAATACTTGAATGGAAATATACAATATTTTTGTTGAAACTACCCGCGTTTCAGTGTAAAGTGTCGTACGTAATAATAAATGGTAAACAATTTGCCTTCGGCACTCGTGTTTCAGGCACGGCGAGCTTCAGTTTATAGGACGTAGAGTGTTTTTAGTGAAGGTTTTGTTGTTCCAATACCCTCAAAAACGTGGGTCGAACTATAAACGAGGAATATCGTAAATTAACGATTTCTTGGTCAAAAAATCAGGGTCGACCTATAAACGAGTGGGGGTTATAGACGAGTATATACGGTATTTGTTTATTTATGTCCTTTAGATTGAGTTTTTGTTTTTTGCTTATATAATTTCATAGAAGTGACCGGGGAGAATATAATTTACGTTGCTCTTATTCATATAAGATAGTGATTAATTTGAATGTAAACATGCAATAGTTTGCACTAGATTAAAATATTAGTATTCATTTTGTACATTATTTTGATTACATGTACAGTACAGCTTTGCCCTTAGGACAGTGTATGCATGTAAATGAGTTTCAATAAATGAATAAAGTTACATATATCGAGCCAAAAATAATAGTTGAAAAACTTTATGTAGACAGAGCTTGGATGGCTAAATTTTTGAATGACCAATAATTTTAGTATAAAAAATGCACAAATATTAAAGAACACAATTTTTTTATATTTACTCCACTAGAAAAGAATGTAAACATAGAACAGATTCCTGAATTGGCAGACTAGCCCATCAGCTGATGCTCACAACAAAACGTGATGTTCGTAAGGATTTCGTTTATCAAATTTTTGTTCGTTAACCGAATTGAAGATTCTTATGGAAGGTAATTCGTTAACCGAAATTTTGTTAACCGAAATTTTGTTAACCGAACCATTCGTTAACCGAGGGACCACTGTATACCACAAGAGGCAATTATTACTCCATAATGATACTTAAAATAATCACTTTTATAACAACTTACCTTGAGCTTCAACAATATATTATCAACAGCAGTGTGTGTATAACTGGTAAGGAGTACGGATAATCCCAGAGAAACCATCAGCCGAACCAATGAAACTATGGTAGATGTTTTGCCTGTGCCAAGAAGAAAATAAGATTAATTCATTTAAGTGCATTAGAAAACATATATATATATATACAGGGTGTCCATAAAGACCTAGTGCAGTTTAAAATATTAATAACTTAGGTTCTATAGGATATAAAACAATCTGTAAATTCCATTGGAGAGGTAATTTATTATTTTCTTTATTTTTTTATGACCAAAGAAATTTATTTGCAGAAAAGACTCGAATAACGAAGGTAATGTGACCTCCAATATTGCAGTGTAAGGTGAATCGTCTTATCGCGAATCATTAATTACCATTAAAATAAAGCAATAATAATGGGATGTGTTCCCAAGTGTGACCTTTTCATATCTTTTGTGTGGCTTTTTACCCTCTTTTCCCCCCCAAAACAATACAAGTAATGAAAATTGCGTACTATATTCTTTAAATAATGTTTCTGAATGCACCTTATACAATATAAATGAATAATAATATGGTCACACAAGAGGAGATGGGACGCCATTGTTTTCGCTAGTGTTTACAGCCGGGAGTCCAGGACACAAAATAAATTCTGTAAGTTTGATCTACGTATCAACCTAGCTGGCGCTGGCGCCGTATGGCAACTCAACCAACTCAACTTTAATAACATAGCACGGAGTTGACTTGAGGGTAGACTCACATTTTTTCTACATTACATTTTGTTGTCGTGTTCTTTATTATGGTATTTGTGAGAGGATTTCCCCATTATTATTTATTTGTATGCATTTTAATAATAATAATAATAATAATAATAATAATAATAACTAATGGTTTATTGAAAGAGCGTGGCAGCCAGAAGGCTGAAAACATAGTTACATAATTGGGGAATGGGTCACTTAATTGACAAATAACACAAAAGATACAAATATGATATATAATAACTAAGTGGGGAGAAGGATATACTACAGCTCATTTCAACAGTGACAGTGCAAAAAGGTAAGATTGGCTGGGAGTGAATAAATATACTGGTTGATTACAAGTTGTTAAAAACATTCTAATGGTTGCAACTGGGCTGTTCTTATAGCATGTGTGTGTGTGTAATAATAATAATAATAATAATAATAATTAACGGTTTATTGAAAGAGCTTGGCAGCCAGAAGGCTGAAAATATACAGTTACATATTTGGGGAATGGGTTACGAATTACAAATAATATGCAAGTGACACAAATAAGACATATAATAACTTAGATGGGGATCAGCTCAAACTACAGTTCATTTCAACATAGTGACAGTGTAGGGAGCAGTGTTTACTGGGAGTGAATACACTGATTTATTACATGTTATTGATAATTTTACAATGGTTGGGACTGGGCTGTTCTTATAGCGATCAGTTCGTGCACGTATGGGCTGGATGCGGTTGTGGTGTCGAACAGCAATTCTCGGACAGGGGATGTCAGGTGGTAGTAGGAGCCGGTGTCGGGGATGGTGTAGGAGCTTCTTACCAAATTTGTAGATGAGGTCGTGGTGATGGTCAGTGAGAGCCGAAAGGGTCAGTGTGTTGAGCGCTTCTTGATATGTGGAGTAGGAAGGGGAGAGAATAATCTTGCATGCCCTCTTCTGCACTTTTTCTAGGTGTTTACGTTGTGTGGCATTTAGGGAGGAAGACCAGGTGGGGGAGGCATAGGTGAGCTTGGGAAGTATGAATGTTGTGTATACACTGAGGAGCTCGTGTGCAGGAACTCCGAGGGACTTGAGTCGGCGGAGCAGGTGGAGACGGAAATTGGAGGTTTTGACAACTTCACTGACGTGTGGTTTCCAATTTAGTTTGTTGTCTATGGTGACGCCGAGGAGCTTCGTGGAATCTACAACCTGGAGTGTGTTCGGACCTAGGGTAATGGAAGGAGGTGGGACAATGTCGGAGGAGAGGTTGATGTGCATAACCATGGTCTTGGTATGGTTGATGGTGACATGGTTGTTGGTACCCAGTTTTGGAGACTGTTCAATAAAATCCTGGAGGGCGTATAGTTGGGAGAGCAGAATTGTTGACGCTGGATCCTAATGGTGGAGTCGTCGACATATTTCCAGCGAGCAGGGGCTTCTCTTAGGGCATCATTGATGAGCATAAGGAAGCAGAGTGGTCCCATCTTGGTGCCTTGGGGGACGCCACAGGTGAGTGACTGAAAGGTGGAGACAGCCCCTCGGAAGCGTACAGCTTGGCGTCGGTCACTGAGGAAGTCTGTAAGCTATGGTATGAGACTTCTCCGAAGCCCGAGGTCAATAGCTTTGTTTATGATTATATTGTGGTCGACTAGGTCGAACGCTTTAGTGAAATCAATGAAGGCGACAGCTACAGACGTTTTTCGTTTCTCGAGATGGCGGTATATGTAATCGAGAAAGCTGACAAGACAGTGAGTGGTGGAGGAAGTTTTCATGTTGCCAAATTGCTGAGGGTCTACGACTCCTGCAATATCAGCATAAGCCCAGTCAAACACATAACTTTCACAGATTAGGCTGGGTATTGGGGTGATTGCAATAGGTCGTAGCTGATTTAAGGATTGTGGGCTGGTTGACTTGGGCACTGGTGATACATAAGAGGTCTTCCAGTGTGTGTGTGTGTGTGTGTGTGTGTGTGTGTGTGTGTGTGTGTGTGTGCATGTATGTATATATGCATGTATGTATATGTGTATGTATGTATATGTGTATGTATGTATATGTGTATGTATGTATATGTGTATGTTTGTAAATGTGCATGTATGTATATATAGGCGACTTGTGGTGTAATGGTCAGCAAAGTCGCCTCACAAGTGTGCGGACCCGGGTTCGATTCTTGGGCAGGGTGAAACTATGGGCAAGTTTCTTTACGCCATTTGCCTCTGTCTACCCAGCAGTAATTGGGGACCTGGATGTTAATCGATTTGCGGATCGTGTTCCGGGGTAATGGTTCACCAGTGCTGTTGACGAGTTGTCCGGTCTTCTCGGACTATTCCTTGACACTAGTTCATCCAGCTCATTAACTCATGGTGTGTTTGTTGTGTTTGCTACAGCTTCTATACCTTAAACAAATCCACGCCAAGGTGGCCCTTGGACCGCCCATCCTCGTTACACGAGGGGCAACCATTATTTATTTTTATTTATATTTATATATATATATATATATATATATATATATATATATATATATATATATATATATATATATATATATATATATATATATATATATATATATATATATATATATATATATATATATAAATATATACACGTATATATATACAGTTAACCCTCACTTTACGCGGTTAATGTAACCCGGAGGGTCCCCCGTAAAGTGAGAAACGCGTAAAGTGAATAACATAACATATGGGATTAATTGAAATGGAGTCCGGCCCATCCCCAAACTCCACTTTTTGACGACACACAACTATGTTGTAGTAAAAATATTATCTTAACTTTATGATGGTATGCACACACAATTAATAATTAAGAGAAATATCAATAATATTAGGTTTTTTAACACTTACATTAGTAGAAAAAATGGCTGGGCACACGGGGATGGGCGGTTGGTTCCGAGGCAGAGGGCAGATTATTGGCCCTCACCTGTGTCACTTGTATCAATTGTATCACTATCCACCACAGAGGCTTGCTGGGCCTCTTTGTCAAACTCCCCAAAGTCCATATAAGTCCATATCCTCACCATAATTATCACTATCACTGACTTGGGCCGGCTGTGGTGGGTGGCGGGTGAAGAACTGGTAATGTTTTGATGACTGGGCGACCTTGTGCGCACCAAGTTCGCGCCGCTTACACAACATGGTGGATGGCGGGAGGTTTGGGTCCAAAAATGGCGCGGCTCGCCAGCCGCTCTCCGCGTAAAGGAGTACACGCACCGCGGAATGTGAGCATCCTGGGTTTCGGCAGGGCACCGCGTAAACGTGGAAACGCGGAATGTGGGACCGCGTAAAGTGAGGGTTAACTGTATATATGCAGTGGGGTATGCTATAACGAACGGATCCTACTACGAATATTCCTATAACTTAACGGTTTTACCTATAGAATTGAGAATGCTATAACTAACGAAACTCCTCAAATCCAACTCTTATTTAATTTTTTACTACCTTATTGTTTTTTTTATTACAAGTATTAATGATATTCTTTACTTCAGGGGTTTAGATGCATATTTATGCACTTTTTTAAAATTTTACAATTTTATATTATATTTTTCAGTGTTCAGTGGTTGTATTTGGGGGCCTGGAACGGATTAATCCTATAACGAACGAATGCTATAACGAACAAGGTTCTAGAACCAATTAGATTCGTTGTAGCATACCCCACTGTGTATATATATATATATATATATATATATATATATATATATATATATATATATATATATATATATATATATATATATATATATATATATATATATATATATATATATATATATATATACAGTATATGGTGTATCGTTGGCGTTGAGCAGTCTCACCTTTTTCTTTACCATTAATGGTGAGCTACTTCTATTGTTCCATTTATTAATATTAAATAACATTACTTAAAACACCCATATTATTTTTGTTACATTAATTTTACTACAGCTACAACCAGGGTCTTATTTTCTTCAGTTTTATATGTAGAACCAGTCAGTCACTGGTTTTGTAAACATTAAAGAAAACAATGCCTTCTCGTCTCCTCGTGTGTTTTAATATTCTACATATTATTAATGAATTGTATTGTTCACTTTGCACACATAAATATTAATTCAATCAAAAAGATATTCAGTAATAAACCATAATGAGTCTTTTGTACATAAGATAAATGACGCTGTTTACACGATTGTGCATGTATGAACGTTGGCCTTCTGCTGTCTCACTTTTTTCTTTACCATCAGTGGTTACTTCTACTGTACATTCATTCATTAACATAAATTAGAAGAAACATTTTTTTTACATTATTTTTACTACAGCTACAACAAATCTCATTTTCTTCAGTTTCAGATGGAGAACCATCGTTCCGGGTGTAAACACTGACGACAACAATGGCGTCCCATCTCCTCGTGTGACTACATATTATTATTCATTTATATTGTATAAGGTGCATTAATAACCATTATTTAAAGAATATAGATTTTATTTTTCATTAATTTTTATTTTTGGGGGAAAAGAGGGTAAAAAGCCACACAACATATATGAAAAGGTCACACTTGCGAACACATCTAATTACTATTGCTTTATCTTAATGGTAACTAGTGATTCATTATATGATTCACCTTACACTGCAATATTGGAGGACACATTAACGTTGTTATTCGAGGCTTTACTGTATGTATGTATGTATGTGTGTGTTTCAGACATTGTAATTATCTTCCAGGAACATGAACTCTCCTCACCTGTTCCCGGATATCCTTTTAGAAGGATATAGCTCTCAGCCATGAGTGTTTTAAGCACAGCTCTCTGTTGACTCTTGTTCAGACTTTTAAGGATATGTTTACCCTTTGAAATAACCGCATGTGAAAGCCCTTTCTTGAATAATGGAAGGTTTCTGAAAAAAAATCAGGAGATAAAGATCAAAGACATTCCTGAAATTCCCTTTTCTGGCAGAACCTACAGGTAAAAGTTGCCAGTTGTGTACAATCAGTCAGTCTGAGTTTATATATATAATCCTGATAGAGCAAATGCTAAGAAGGTTTTAATCACCCGCCTGAGGCCAAAAGGTCTGATGATATTTTTTAATTACAGTATACATTATGTGTATGTCAAAATACCAATTCATAATTGCCACAGCCTGGACAATAAGGTACAGGAGAGGGTTTAAAATCAATACTACGAGGTGGTGTTTTTTATGATGCCGGAATATATATATATATATATATATATATATATATATATATATATATATATATATATATATATATATATATATATATATATATATATATACTCAGAAATTTCAGAGTAATTTCAAATGGGAATGGGACAACTGGCCGCCGCCATCTGGCCGCCGCGGACTGGGGGTAAACTGCAAACGCCTAATTTTGCGCTCTCAAGGCAGGTTAGGTTAGGTTAGGTTAGGTACTTCATGGGCTGCGGCCAGATGGCGGCGGCCAGTTGTCCTAGACCCATTTCAAATGCCCCGCTATTAGCGATACTGAGCGTTCAAGGTCATCTGAGGGGAGAGAGCGCTGCCTGCTCATAGCGAGAGATTGCGGAACTAGGCCTATATGATATTAAATGTAATTCACCGAATTAATAATGATGCGATTCATGAAGTAAGGGACTATTATTGAATTTGAAATTATTATAGATCGTTTATCAGTCTGAATAATGTTACGGGTGTCCCAAGGAGTTATTAGTTAGGCGGAAAATATGTCACGTAGACCTAAGCTAACGCCTTGAGGAGACGCGACGCTGGCTAGGTCTCAGTCGCGGGAAGCATTCACACAGACAAGACGTCCCTGCGCGTCTGTCACAGAAATAGTCACGTGGCCTAGTCACCTGTGCTGCGCTATGGCAGTACAGTGACCCCTCCGTTAACGAACTCAATCCGTTCCAGAAGGTCGTTCGTTAACCGAAAAGTTCGTTAAGTGAAACCATTGTTTCAATGGGTTGTTGGGTAATTGGTTCCAGCTCACCGAAAATTTCCTAAATTCAACAAAAATGGTAGAAAAGTTCACTTACTTTGAGGTGTGTATGTAGAAGGCTCCTGGATGATGATGATGATGGGATTTTAGAATGGGGTGGAGGAGAAGGAAGAAGAGAAGGCATTGGGGTGGAAGAGAAGTCACCCCATGGCGCCATTTCACCCATAAAATTTTAGCTCTTGGTGTAATTCAAGATTATTTTCTTTAAATCAACACTGCACTGCATTATATATTGTCAATATGTAAAATATATTTCAAAATGACCAATAATTTGCTTGGAAACACAGAAAAAAAGCGTTTAGTTGAAGAGAGTCTCAAGCAAGATGTTACCTCCAGTGAAAACAGAGAGAGACTAACTCCTGTTTGCTGTGTTAAGAGGCTGGATGCCGCGCATTAAACTAGTCACTTTACCTTCAATTATGTTCAATAATTGTTAAAATGACTAAAAATTGAATATTAAACTTTAAAATTATTGAATAGTATAAACTTCTTGATATTTACTAAAATAGTAAGGAATTTAAGCCCTAGATCCGATTAATGTATTGGCGGACTGATACTAAAGCTGGTTGCCTGGTCAGTGCAAGCGAAAACATGTTGAGGTCGGTTACGTAAGAACTTCGTTAATCGAATTTTTTTCGTTAACGGAATTGAAGATCCTTATGGAAGGCAGTTCGTTAATCGAAATTACGTTAACCGAGGTGTTCGTTAAACGAGGGGTCACTGTATAACAAGTAAGTCTCATTCAATCTCGGACAGGGTTTAGATAGGGCAGTGGTAAAGTTAACTAGAGCTAACAGTGAGTTCATTTCAGGGTTTCCGTCAGAACCCACTTGACTGGAGTTGACCGGAGTTTGACTGCGAGAGATTGACTGCCGTTTGAGACTGCCGTTGATGATTGAGGGTGGCGATTGTCGCCATTGGACCGATCAGAGTAGGCCTGTCACTGTTTAGCGGGGTACCAAAGGAGCTCTTGAGGGAATCTAGCCGTCTGGGTGCCCAGCTGACGTCAGCTCACAACACCACATGTCCCGAGCCGCTTAGTGAAACCCTCTTGCTAACGGGAAGCTAAAGCTCCTCTCAACTGCACAAGGTCTGATTGGCTCACTCTCTTCCTGCCCATGGACGCACTGGGAGTACACTGAGGCTATCTGAGTATATTAATGGTCACACACTGAGACCGTGAGTCTAGGACTCTAGGAGATACCTAGAGGAACATTTTATCTTCCTTATTACGGGTGTAGTTAACACCATTCCTCAGACTGATATTATCTTGACGTGTGTAGTTTAATAGTCCTAAATAATTTTGATAGTATTGTTTTTGAATGTTTGTGCCATTAAGTGGAACCAGAGTGATGCTGTGATTTGATTCTTTTAATGCATCTAATTGTTCTTCATAATTCTGATCTCAGGTATAACCTTGTTCCCCAGAGTAGTGGTTAAGTTAGGTTAGGAAGTGTGCATCTGTTGGGGTGATATTATTTTGTTGAAAGCCCTTAAGGCCTATTCATTGTAGAGTATTTAATTTCTTATTTTTATTACCATTTCCTCAGTGACTGATATTATTTTGTTGAAAGCCCTTAAGGCCTATTCATTGTAAAGTAGTTAATTTCTTATTTTTTAATACCATTTCCTAAGTGACTGATATTATTTTGTGAAAGCCCTTAAGGCCTGTTCATGTGTGCAAGCAACATTTCTTAATACTTCAAATTTATTGTTGCCTGTGTTTCTAATAATTTCTATATCATGTATAACTTTTATTCCCCAGAGTAGTGTTTTAAGTTTAAGTTAAGAGGTGTGCATATTGGTGTACCATTATTTGATTGTGTTTGTAGTGTTGGAGGGAATATAAGTGTCTAAATTTTACAGTGTATCTCATTCATCCCAGTCACAGACGCTATCCTTCCACGGGTCACGGACAATTCATTTTGTTTAGTAATTTAATAAACCCCAAGTCAAGTGAGAAATTATAGTCCAGTAAATTCCGACCGGTTACATATATATATATATATATATATATATATATATATATATATA